TAGCAATCTCCATTTGCCCTGTGACGCCCCTGTGTAGTATTGGCCTACAAGCAGTCAGGACACATTCTCTAGTTCTCTGTTTCTTTCCATCTGTTTGTCATCTCTGCCAGTGTTTATCTGTCTGAGTCGGTCTACATATCTGTTTCTCTCTTTTCTCTCTCTCTCTCTCTCTCTCTCTCTCTCTCTCTCTCTCTCTCTCTCTCTCTCTCTCTCTCTCTCTCTCTCTCTCTCTCTCCCCCTGTCTTTATCTATCTATCTATGTCTGTATGTCTCTCTCCCTCTCTCTGTATCTCTCTGCGTGAGTGTGTGTGCGTGTGTGGGTGTCTCTCTCTCTCTTTCTCTCTCTCTCTCTCTCTTTCTCTATTTATCTCTCTCTCTATCTTTATCTCTCTATCTATCTTTCTCGCTCTCTCTCTCTCTCTCTCTCTCTCTCTCTCTCTCTCTCTCTCTCTCTCTCTCTCTCTCTCTCTCTCTCTCTCTCTCTCTCTCTCTCTCTCTCTCTTCTCTCTCTCTCTCTCTCTCTCTCTCTCGGTTTCTGCCTCTCTGTCTGCCTCCGGTCTCTCAGTCCCTCTTTCCTCATCTCTCCCCCATGCTTGCGTTCGGCCAATCACCGTTGTGTCGTGCCACAATATGCTTCTGTATGCAGCGATACGAGCTTCAATCATGGCCAAGGAGTCAACACTGTCGGACATCCGAAAAGAGATGGATGAACTCAACTACTTGAGGGTTAGCAAGACCACACGGCCAAACACATCATCCTTATACTGTTTATGGCATTATCTAACTAATATACACAGGAGCGTCGGAAGGTACTCAGAGTGGTACAGTTAGCTACGTTTAGCACAGTGTACTCGGGGGGGGGGGGGGGGGGGGGCGGGGTCTCCTTCTGAAGAATTACGAAATGTTGGAGCCCAAATCAGCGCCTTCTCCAGGACAAAGGGTACACCGGCAAATGCTGCCGATCGCATTGAAGGTGGCAAATGCAAGCGCACAAGAGGCTGGATGGACCAACGTGTAGGGTAGTCGACAAGGGGTGGCAAGCCCGGGTAGTTGACGTATAACCGGGGGTCTAACCGCCAGAACTGGGAAATCCAGGACCCGAATAAAGAGAAGAAGGATACACTTAAGGTTCTTGAACAACATCTCGAAAGTTTTACAGTCAGACATCGCTTATCCGGTCCTCTTTTATCCGGTCCTCTTTTATCCGGTCCTCTTTTATCCGGTCCTCTTTTATCCGGTCCTCTTTTATCCGGTCCTCTTTTATCCGGTCCTCTTTTACCTGGATCCATCGCTGTCCGGAAGAAAATCGTTGGTTACCGATTTACAGCATATGCCATGCATACATGCAGTAAGTAGTGTGTGTTCGATTATCCGGTTCCCTCGCCTATCCGGGTATTTTTAGTGGAAAACGGATGTGTGCGGTTAAGCGAGGGCTAGCTGTACTAGCATACTGTCGAGCCTTATCCAATAACTTAAAGAAATGAGTATAGTAGTGAAACTTTCAAGGTGTTTTTCAACAGCCTTAAAAGTGTGTCCTTCTTCTCAGTGTTATTGCGTTCTTGTCTTCGAGGAAACTGTCCAAGTACATACAGAGGTTGACTGATATCAAGAGTACATGAAAACCAGAGTGTGCAGCTCTGATGGGTTGCTGTCACGGCGGAATTCCGTGATTACATCATCTAGTGATGTAGTGCGTACTTGTACAAGCAGGATTCAAGCAGTTCTCTTTCTGCACAACTGCAGCTCAGTTGTACGCACTACGCCATTTCCCGCCTCAGATCTCCGCCAAAAAGGATGTAATCACGGAATTCCGCTGTGACCGTGAGACGCCCGAAGTAGGACATGCCCCAAGCTGCACGCTCCGGGTTTCATGTAGTCTTCCTAACATCCAGTAAATTATGGTATGTTTGTTCCGTCTGGTTGTGTACTAACGCAGGTGTTAAGAGACCACCAAGCTAAGGAGATCAAGGATTTGGAGGCTGAAGTGGAAGCTGTCAAGCTGGGAAACAAGGAGCAGCAGCATGACATGAAGCATGCGTACTTGCAGAAGAGGAAAGTCTTCGAGGACGAGGCCGAAGAGAAAATCACGAAAATGAAGCAGGAGGCGAAGCAGGTATAAATGCTGCTCAGTGTGTGTGTGCTGCTGATGTTTTTGACAGAGCTTTATCTGCTGATAGTGGTGGGGGGGGGGGGAGGGGGGGGGGGGGTGGTGGTGGTGGTGATGTTGTTGTTGTTGTCGAAATTACGTTTGCTGATGGTAGGGTGGCATGGCTACCAGGGTTGCACTAGCAGATGGTGGTGGTGCTTTTTTCGGGGCAACGTCTGCTGAGGATGGCTACTGGTGCCAAGGTTACGTCTGCTGGCGGTGGTAGTAGTTCTGCTGCTGTCGGAACTATGTTGGCTGGTGGTGGTGTGTGTGTGTGGGGGGGGGGGGGGGAGGCGGCGGCGGAGGTGCTGTGCCAGGGTTCTGTCTGCTGATGGTGGTAGTGATGCTGTTGTC